GCGACTTCTCTCTCTCTTTCTCGCGACTTCTCTCTCTCTGTCGCGACTTCTCTCCCTCTCTTTCTCACGACTTCTCTCTCCCTTTCTTGCAACTTCTCGCACTCTCTTTCTTGCGACTTTCTCTTTCTCGTGACTTCTCTCCCTCTTTCTCGTGACTTCTCTCCCTCTTTCTCGCGACTTCTCTCTCTCTTTCTTGTGACTTCTCTCTCTCTTTCTCGCGACCTCTTGCTCTCTTTCTCGCGACCTCTCTCTTTCTTGCGACTTCTCTCTCTCTTTCTTGCAACTTTACTCTCTCTCTCTTTCTCGCGATCTCTCTCTCTCTCTCCCGACCTCCCTCTCTTTCTCGCGACTTCTCTCTCTCTCTCGCGACTTCTCTCGCTGTCTTTTTTGCGACTTCTCTCTTTCTTGCGACTTCTCTCTCTCTTTCTCGCGACTTCTCTCTCTCTCTTTCTCGCGACTTCTCTCTCTCTCTTTCTCGCGACTTGTCTTTCTCTCTCCCCATCTTTTACGACTCTCTCTCTCTCTCTGCCTCGCTTGTGACTTGTCTCTCTTTCTCTTTCACACTTGCGACTTTTCTATCCCTTTCCCTCTTTCCCACTCACGACCTCTCTCTCTCTCCCTCTCCTTCGCTTGCGGCTTCTCTCTCTCTCTCTCTCTCTCCGTCGCCCATGTCGAAGACCATCTTTCATGTCCCTCCAGCTGCCAGTTCGCTTTCGAACATTGCCCCTCCAGCGAGACGTCTCAGGGGTCATTTGTAACCCCCCCCACCCTTCCCTTCGGCCATGAGGTAGCTATCTACAGTTCACAGGGAGGTGAAGGATATGCTTCAGGCTGGGTGAGGACGGGGTGGGGAGAGAGAGAGACAGACAGACAGACAGAGAGAGATAGGGTTAAGAGTGTGGACAGAGAAGGACTCAGAGAAGGACTCAGCACAGTCTCGGAATAAAGGGGCACCAATTGAAGACTGAGATGAGGAGGAATTTCTTCTCTCAGAGGGTTGTGGGTCTTTGGAACTCCTTGCCACAGAGAGCTGTGGGGGCAGAGCCCTTGTATCTATTAAATGCTGAGATGATAGATTCTTCAGTTCTGAGGACAGCTTAAACAAATGGCGTCTAGAATTTAGAAGGCCAAGGGGTGATCTGATTGATGCATACAAGATATTAACAGGAAAAGACAGGGTGGATAAAGATAAACTTTTTGCACTGGTTGGGGACTCTGGAACGAGGAGGGGAACTGCTTGAGGATGAGCTCCAGACCATTCGGGAGAGACGTTAGGAAGTACTTCGACACTCAAGGGTGGCGAGGCGATGGCCTAGTGCTTTTATCACTGGGCTGTTAATCCATAGACCCAGGTAATGTTCTGGGGACCTGGGGTTCAAATCCCACCACGACAGATGGTAGAAATGGAATTCAATAAATATCTGGAACTAAGAGTCTAATGATGACCATGAATCCATTGTTAAGCGTTCGAAAAACCCATCTGGTTCAATAATGTCCTTTAGGGAAGGAAACTGCCATCCTTACCTGGACTGGCCTACATGTGACTCCAGACCCACAGCAATGTGGTTGACTCTTAACTGCCCTCTGGGTAATTAGGGATGGGCAATAAATGCTGCTTGGTCAGTGATGCCCTCATCCCGTGAATGAATTAAAAAAAAGGTTTGGAAAGCCGAAAGAACTGTGCAGTCGCGAGAGAAATCTCAGCAGGGCTGGAGAGAGCAGCATTTGGAGAGAGAGAGAGAGCAAGAGTTAACGTTTCGGATCCAGTAACCTTCCTTCAGAACCCAGTTAACCGGAAACATTAACTCTGGTTACAAGACATTGGTGAGGCCTCTTCTGGAGCAACTGTGTCCAGTTCTGGTCGTTCCCCTGTTATAGGAAGGATATTATTAAGCTGCAGAGGGTTCAGGAGAGATTTACCAGGATGTTGCCGGGAATGGAGGGCTTGAGTTATAAGGAGAGGCTGGGACTTTTTTCACTGGAGCGTAGGAGGTTTGAGAGGTGACCTTATGGAGGTTTATAAAATCATGAGGGGTCGAGGCAGGGTTAATGGTGGATGTCTTTTCCCTAGCTTGGGGGCTTTCAAGATTGGGGGCATATTTTTACGGTGGGAGGAGAGAGATTTAAAAAAGACGTAAGGGTGGTTTGTGTGTGAAATGAACTTCCTGAGGAAGTGGTGGGTGTGGGTACAGTTACAATGTTTAAAAGACATTTGGATAAGTACATAGGCAGGAAAGGTTTGGAGGGACATGGGCCAGGAGCAGGCGGGTGTGGGACTGGTTTAGTTTGGGAACACGGACTGGTTGGGCCGAAGGATCTGTTTCTGTGCTGTATGACTCTATGATTCTGCCAGACCTGCTGAGTTTTTCCAGCAATTTCTCCATGGGTTCCAAACTCTCTTCCCACAAATGGCACGGATGACGGACCAGTTGCCAGTTTTAAATCAGAGCTGGATCAATCTTCGTGAAGCAGAGGGACCGAGGATCTCACCAAATTAGGGAACAGGCTCAGGGGGCCGAATGGCCTTGCCCAGCTCGTTTGCCGCTCAGTCGGGGACTTGAGGGTAATGGGAAAAGGGCGGGAATGTTGGATCAGCCACGATCGTGTTTAATGGCGGAGAATGTTCGAGGAGCCGATTTTGAGCTGCTATCTCTGACGGGCTTACCTGTGTTTAAAGTGCGGCACGAGTTTGGATCCACTCCCCCCACCCCACCACCCCAGCCTTCCCCCTGCCTGATATTTTCCAGCCGTCTCCCCGACATTCCGAACATTTGGTGGTGGGGCGTTTTCCCAGGTCTGGTCGGTGCCGCACTTTGAAAGTTAGGATTTAATTTTCTGTGTTACTTCCGCTGCAGGTGAAAGATTGGAGGAGTCAGTCACAGCGTTCCTGCACCATGAGTGACAGCCCATCTGTGTCCTTACCTGTAAGTACACCCCACTCCTCCTGGCAGTCTGTATGCTGTCCCCCCCCTACCCCATCAAACACTCCACAGGACAGGGTTAGTAAATCTCCCTCTACA